TTCATTCACTGCCATCACCAACGTCCTCAGCCACCGCCACCAACGTCCTCATACTACCATCGCTTCAACGTCTCAGCCACTGCCATCACCAGCGTCACTCGGCCACCGCCATCACCAGCGTCATCGTGCCACCACCAAGCATTATCATGCGCATGCCAACGTCCATCGGCCACTATCGTCACCAGCATCCTCCGTACCACCATCGCAACGTCATCGTACCACCATCACCAGCATCGTCAGCCACTGCCATCACCAACATCCTCAATACCACCATCACCAACGTCCTCAGCCACCACCATCGCCAACGTCCTCAGCCACTACCATCGCCAACGTCTCATTACGTCACCAACGTCCTCGTACTGCCATCGCCTTGGCATCACTCGTACCACCATCACCAGCGTCCTCAGCCACCACCATCACCAACGTCACTCGGACTGCCGAACCAGCGGCCTCAGTACCTGCTTCCAGCATCCTCTGGCTACTACCATCGCGCGTCGTCAGCCATCACCATCACGACATCCTCGGCCTGCCATCACTAAGTTGCTCGCCACCACCATCACCGCGTTTCTCTCATGCACTACCATCACCATCGTATAGTATCCCGTCTCCAACGTCCTCGGCCACTGTATCACCAACGTCCTCAATACTACCATCACCAACGTCCTCGGCACTCTGCCATCGCGAGCATCATGCACTCCGTCACCAGCATCTCAGCCACTACCATCACCAACATCCCAGCCACCACCATCACCAACATCCTCAGCCACTACCACTAACATCCAGCCACCACCATTCACCAACATCCTCAGCCACCACCATCACCAACATCCCCAGCCACCACCATCACCAACATCCTCAACTACTACCATCACCAACATCCTCAGCCACTACCATCACCAATATCCTCAGCCACTACCATCACCAACATCCTCAGCCACTACCATCACCAACATCCTCAGCCACTACCATCACCAACATCCTCAGCCACTACCATCACCAATATCCTCAGCCACCACCCTCACCAACATCCTCAGCTACCACCATCACCAACATCCTCAGCCACTACCATCACCAACATCCTCAGCCACTACCATTACCAATATCCTCAGCCACCACCCTCACCAACATCCTCAGCCACCACCATCACCAACATCCTCAGCCACCACCATCACCAACATCCTGCACCACCATCACCAACATCCTCAGCCACTACCATCACCAACATCCTCAGCCACCACCATCACCAACATCCTCAGCCACCACCATCACCAACATCCTCAGCCACCACCATCACCAACATCCTCAGCCACTACCATCACCAACATCCTCAGCCACTACCATCACCAACATCCTCAGCACATCCTCAGCCACCACCATCACCAACATCCTCAGCCACTACCATCACCAACATCCCAGCCACCACCATCACCAACATCCTCAGCCACTACCATCACCAACATCCTCAGCCACCACCATCACCAACATCCTCAGCCACCACCATCACCAACATCCTCAGCCACCACCATCACCAACATCCTCAGCCACTACCATCACCAACATCCCACTACCATCACCAACATCCTCAGCCACCACCATCACCAACATCCTCAGCCACTACCATCACCAACATCCTCAGCCACTACCATCACCAACATCCTCAGCCACACCATCACCAACATCCTCAGCCACCACCATCACCAACATCCTCAGCCACTACCATCACCAACATCCTCAGCCACTACCATCACCAACATCCTCAGCCACCACCATCACCAACATCCTCAGCCACCACCATTACCAACATCCTCAGCCACCACCATCACCAACATCCTCAGCCACCACCATCGCAGCATCACCATTTTTACCATCACCAAACTCCTTCAGCCTGCCGTCACCAACATCCTCGCCATTACCATCACCAGCATCCTCAGTCACCACCATCGCCAACGTCTCAGCCACCACCATCACGCCAGCGTCCTCCAGCCGCCACCATCCTGCCAACGTCACTCAATACCACCATCACCAGCATCCTCCGGGCACTACCATCACCAGCATCAACCAGCCTGCACCATCACCGGCATCCTCAGCCACTACCATCACCAGCGATATCATCCGCAGCCATCGCCCGGCATCCTGACGCTCCGTCACCAGCGTCATCGTACCGCCATCGCCGCGTCATCGTACTACCGTCACCGGCGTCGATCGGCCACTGCCGTCACCAAGCGTTCTCCGGCCACCGCCATCACCAGCGTCATCATTGCCTGCCTGCATCGCAACGTCCTCAGTGCCACCATCGCCAACGTCCTCATACCGCCATCACCAGCGTCCTCGGGCACTGCCGTCACCAGCATCTCCGTACCACCATCCCAACGTCCTCGGCCACTGCCATCGCCAACGTCGCCTACCACCATCCGCAACGTCACTCGTACTGCTGCATCACCAGCATCTCGGCCACACCATCGCCGCATCCTCAATACCACCGTCACCCAGCGTCATCGGGCACTGCCATCACCAACGTCCTCGGCCACCATCACCAGCGTCCTCGGCCACTGCCATCACCAACGTCATCGTACCACCATCACCAACGTCCTCGGCTTTCTGCATCACCAACATCCTCGTCACCACCACCACCAGCATCCTCATGCCACCACCAACATCCTCGAGGCAGCTTATCCATAGCGTCACTCATGCACCACCATCACCAGCATCCTCAGCTATTCTGCATCACCAACGTCCTCATACCACCATCACCAGCATCCTCAGCCACTACCATCACCAACATCCTCTGCCACTACCATCACGAACATCCTCCAGCCACTACCATCACCAGCATCATCAGCCACCACCATCACCAACGTTCTCATCTCCATCCACCAGCATCCTCGGCCACTACCATCACCAACGTTCTCAGCCACTGCCATCACCAACGTCCTCAGCCACTGCATCGCAACGTCCTCCGGCACACTACCATCACCAACATCCTCCAGCCACACTCCATCACCAACATCCTCATGCCCACCATCACCAACATCCTCAGCCACTACTCACCTGCCATCATCCTCATCCACCACCATCACCAACGTATCGCCACCACCATCATAATATCCTCCAGCCACCACCATCACCAACATCCTCAGCCACTACCATCACCAACATCCTCAGCCACTGCCATCACCAACATTCTCAGCCACTACCATCACCAGCATCCTCATACCACCATCTGCCAACATCCTCAGCCACCACCATCACGCAACATCCTCAGCCACTGCATCACCAGCATCCTCAGCCACTGCCATCACCAACATCCTCAGCCACTACCATCACCAACATCCTCAGTCACTACCATCACCAGCATCCTCAGCCACTGCCATCACCAACATTCTCAGTCATACCAGCGTATCATACCACCATCGCCAGCATCCTCAGCCACCACCATCACCAACATCCTCAGCCACTACCATCGCCAACATCCTCAGGCACTACCACGCCAACATCCTCAGCCACTCCATCACCAACATCCTCCAGCCACCACCATCGCAACATCCTCGCCACCACCATCACCAACATCCTCCAGCCACTACCATCACCAACATCCTCAGGCACTACCATCACCAGCATCCTCAGCCACTACCATCACCAACATCCTCATGCACTACCATCACCAACATCCTCCAGCCACGCATCACCAGCGTCCTCAGCCACTACCATCACCAACATCCTCGGCCACTACCATCACCAGCATCCTCCAGCCACACCATCACCAACGCATCCTCAGGCACTACCATCACCAACATCCTCAGCCACTACCATCACCAACATCCTCAGCCACCACCATGCCCGAATTCTCGGCTGCTACCATCACCATTCTCAGCCACCACCATCACCAACATCCTCAGCCACCACCATCACCTCATCCTCAGCCACCACCATCCACCAGCATCCTCCAGCCACACCATCACCAACTCCTCAGCCACCACCATCACCAGCATCCTCCAGCATTACCATCACCAGCATCCTCAGCCACCATCACCAACATCCTCAGCCACCTGCATCACCAACATCCTCAGCCACCGCACCATCGCAACATCCTCAGCCACCGCCACCAACATCCTCAGGCACTACCATCACCAGCATCTCCAGCCACCACCATCACCAACGTCCTCAGCCACTACCATCACCAGCGTCCTCAGCCACCACCGTCACCAACGTCCTCAGCCACCCCATCACCAACATCCTCAGCCACCACCATCACCAACATCCTCAGCCACCACCATCCCTAACATCCTCAGCCACTACCATCACCAGCGATTCTCAGCCACCGCATCACCAGCATCCTCGAGCCACTGCATCACCAGCATCTCCAGCCACGCACACCAGCATCATCAGCCACCACCATCGCCGGCGTCATCGGCCGCCGCCGTCGCCAGCGTCATCATTGCCGCCGTCGCCAGCGTCATCGTGCGCTGTCGCCGGCTCATCGGTACGCTGCCGTCGCCGGCGTCATCGGTACCGCTCGCCCGTCATCGTACCGCTGCCATCGCCGGCGTCATCGGTACCACCGTCGCCCGGCGTCATCGTACCGCAATCGCCGGCGTCATCGGCCGCCGCCGCCGACGTCATCGGTACTGCCATCGCCCAGCGTCTGAGCCGCTGCCGTCGCAGCGTCATCGTGCCGCCGTCGCCGCCCGGCGTCATCGTACCGCCATCGCCGGCGTCATCATTGCCGCCGTCACGACGTCATCGTGCATACCGTCGCCAGTAATCATCGTACCGCCGTCGCCGCGGCATCATCACCATCGCCCAACGTCATCAGTACCGCCGTCGCCAGCGTCATCGGCCGCCTGCATCGCCAAGGTCCGTACTGCAATCGCCGAGCGTCATCATTACCGCAAATCGCCAGCGTCATCGGCCGCCGCCATCATCAACGTCATCGGCCGCTGCCATCGCCGGCGTCATCGTACCGCCGTCGCCGACGTCATCGTACCACCGTCACCAGCGTCATGAATGACCGCCTGATCGCCGCCAGCGTCATCGTACCGCAATCGCCGGCGTCATCGGTACCGCCATCGCCAGCGTCATCGGCCGCCGATCGCCAGCGTCATCGTACCGCCGCCATCGCAACGTCATCGTACCGTCGCCAGCGTCATCAGTACGCACCGTCGCCGAGCGTCATCGTACTGCAACGTCGCCGAGCGTCATCGGCCACTGCCGTCGCCAGCGTCATCAGTACTGCACCGTCACCAGCGTCATCGGCCGCCACCGTCGCCGGCGTCATCGGCCGCCGCCATCGCCAACGTCATCAGTACCGCCATCGCCGACGTCATCGTACCACATCACCAGCGTCATCAGCCGCTGCATCACCAGCGTCATCGGCCACCGCAAATCGCCAGCGTCATCAGTACCTGATCGCCAACGTCATCGGCCGCTGCCGTCGCCAGCGTCATCGTACCGCCGTCACCAACGTCGCTCAGCCGCCACCATCAGCAACGTCATCGGCCACCGCCATCACCAACGTCACTCGGTCATGCCATCGCCGGCGTCCTCCAGTACCACCATCACCAGCGTCATCAGTACACCATCACCAACGTCTCAATGCCACCATCACCAGCGTCACTCAGCCGCCACCATCGCCGGCGTCCTCGGTCACTTTCACGTCGCGGCGTCATCATTGCACTGCATCGCCCGGCGTCATCGTACCGCATTCGCCAGCGTCATCGTACCACCATCGCCCAGCGTCATCATTGCCGCCATCGCCAGCGTCATCGGCCACTGCAATCGCCGAGCGTCATCGGCGCTACCGTCGCCAGCGTCATCGTACGCTGCCGTCGCCAGCGTCATCGTACGCTGCCGTCGCGGCGTCATCGTACTAGTCGCCGAGCGTCATCGTCTGCATGCGTCATCAGTACCACCGTCGCCGAGCGTCATCGGCCGCTGCCGTCGCCAGCGTCATCGACGGCCGCCGCGGACGTCATCGTACTGCCATCGCCCGGCGTCATCGGGCGCTGCCATCGCGGCGTCATCGGTACTGCCATCGCCGGCGTCATCGTACGCTGCCGTCGCCGGCGTCATCGGGCGCTGCCGTCGCCCGGCGTCATCAGTACCGCCGTCGCCAGCGTCATCGTACTGCCGTCGCGGCGTCATCATTACGGCCAATCGCCCGGCGTCATCGGTACGCTGCCGTCGCCGAGCGTCATCGGCCGCGCCGTCGCCAGCGTCATCGGCCGTGCCATCGCCGAGCGTCATCGGCCGCTGCCATCACCCGGCGTCATCGGGCGCTGCCATCGCCAGCGTCATCGGCGAGCCACCGTCGCGGCGTCATCGACCGCTACCGTCGCGAGCGTCATCGTACTACCGTCACCGGCGTCATCGGCCACTGCCGTCGCCGACGTCATCAGTACGCCAGAAATCGCCAGCATCGATCATTGCGCCGCCGTCGCCGGCGTCATCGTGCGCTGCCATCGCAACGTCATCGGCCGCTGCCGTCGCCGGCGTCATCGGTACTGCCGTCGCCCGGCGTCATCGTTCACTGCCATCGCCGGCGTCGCCGACCGTCGCAGCGTCTTCGTACTGCCGTCGCCCGGCGTCATCGTATGCCATCGCCCGAGCGTCATCGTACTGCTGCAAATCGCGGAGTCTCGTACACTGCCATCGGCGTCATCGGTACCGCCATCGCCAGCGTCATCGGTACCACCGTCACCGACGTCATCGGCCACCCATCAGCCGGCGTCATCGTTGCCGCCATCGCGGCGTCATCGGTACCGCCATCCCCGACGTCATCGGCCGCTGCCATCGCCAGCGTCATCGTACGTAACGTCCTGGCTACTGCCGCCAGGTTATCGTACGCCGCAAATCGCCAGGATTTATCGTGCGTCGCAGCGTCATCGTAGTGCGTCGCCAGCGTCATCGGTACCGCGTATGCCGGCGTCATCGGTAGCGCGTCGCCAGCGTCATCGTACACTGCCATCACGACGTCATCGGTAGACCATCGCCAGCGTCATCATTACGCCGCCATCGCCATCGTCATCGTGCTGCCATCGCCAGCGTCATCATTACCGCCATCGCCGGCGTCATCGGTTGCTGCCGTCGCCAGGGTTCTCATTCGCCGCCGTCGCCAGCGTCATCGGCCGCTGCCATCGCCAGTCATCGGCTACTGCCATCCGCCAGCGTCATCGGTACCGCCATCGCGGCGTCATCGGCCGCTGCCATCGCCAACGTCATCGGCCACTGCCATCGCCAGCGTCATCAGCCACCACCATCACCAGCATCATCGGTACTGCCAATCACTTAAGCCACTGCCATCGCAGCGTCACGGCTGCTACCGTCGCCAAGATTCTCGGTACCGCCATCGCCAGCGTCCTCGGCCGCTGCATCGCCAGCGTCATCAGTAGATATTCGCCGAGCGTCATATTACCACCGTCGCCTGGCGTCATCAGGCTACTGCCGTCGCCCGACGTTCTCGGCCGCCGCCGCCAGACGGCGTCATCGGCCACTGCCATCGCAAGCGTCATCAGCCGCCACCATCGCCAGCGTCATCGGTAGCTGCCAGTCGCAGCGGTATCGGTATCGCCAGCATCATCGCCACCGTCATATTTCCTCGGCCACTCGCAGTCGCCGCCGTCTCGGTACCGCCATCGCCAGCGTCATCAGTACGCAAATCGCCAGCGTCATCGTACCGCCGATCGCCAGCGTCATCGGTACGCACTGTCGCCCGGCGTCATCAGTACTTCCTGCGCGATTGGCGTCATCGTTACCTGATCGCCGGCGTCATCGTACTGCCGTCGCCAGCGTCCTCGCCAGTACTGCCGTCGCCAGGCGTCATCGTGCCGCCAGTCGTCGGCGTCATCGTCCGCTGCAAGTCGCCAGCGTCATCAGTATTCTCACCGTCGCAGCGTCATCGGTACCACCGTCGCCAGCGTCATCGGCATTGCCGATCGCCATGCGTCATCAGTACTTCTGTGTGCGTGGC